ACAGGCAGCCTCGGAGAGGGAGGCAGAAGGAGACTCGATACAAGAAAGAAGAGGAGAAGGCAATGTGACCATGAACGCAGGGATCGGAGTGATGTGGCCACTAGCCCAGGAGCGTTGGCACCAATAGATGCTGGATGGGATAAGACAGGGTTCTCCCCTCAGGCTCCAGAGGGAACATGGCCCTGCCAACACCTTGACTTCAGCCCCGTGAAACTGACTTCAGACTTCTGGCCTCCGGAACTGTGAGAATAAATTTCTGTTGTTTAAGCACCACGTGTGTGGTAATTTGTTAGAGTGAAATAATGAGAAACTAATACAGATGAGAAAAGTAAGTCACAGAGAGGTAAAATACATTGCCCATTTAGCTAATGAGTAAATTAAATAACTTGCCTATTTAGTGGCCAACCCAGCACTTGATCCCACGCAGTCTGTACCTTTAGGTATGACCTGGTACTATCCCATTGCCTACTGTGTCCTCCCTCCAAACCCTTACAATTCTTCATACTCTGAAGGGAGCTAAATCCTTTCTCCTTACTTGTTTCCAGAAAATTCCACCACAGCCAGAGCAAAAGAACAAAGGAAACAATCCCCAACACATACATCTCAAAAAAAACCTTCAGATCTCTGGGCAGAGAGAAAAGCCCAAGTGTTTAATCCTCAAGAGAGGCCCTGTAGTGTTTGTGGGGTGTCAGAAGGACTAAGATCAAATATTTTTGTCACAATAATAGATTGAAAAGAATAGATGGTTCTAGATTCCCAAATGAAAGATTACAGCTTCAAGTGTTTGTGGGGTATCAGAAGGACTAAGATCAAATATTTTTATCACAATAATAGATTGAAAAGAATAGACGGTTCTAGATTCCCAAATGAAAGATTACAGCTTCCTGCCTGTGCAGAGCAGGAGGAGGTGTGATGATGGAGACAGGGCAAGGAGGATGGGAGACCAGGGCACTAGACCTGCAGGGAAGCTGTGGACATAGGATCAAGGTCAGTGTATGTTGATTTTACAGCCACCACTTTGAGCAAACTCTGTTGTCACTAGCGCCAGGGGGATATGTTAAAGTGGACATCACACATGGTCTTTGCTTAGAGGCCCAGAGACTGCCCTTTGATGGTACAATTCCAATGATGCCCAGGCCCACCTCAGTAGGACGAGGACTATCCCCACCTCAGTGCGTAGGACGCTTCTAAGGGCCAGGAATTGAGTTTGGAATTCTCAAAACACAGGGGAAGCTGGTGTGAAGTGCAAAGCCCTTGAACTTACATGTGGCCAGGACTGAAAACAACCAGGAGGAGAACTCTCTGAGCAAGGACAGCGGGGAAACCCTCCCCTGTTATTCTCTGCTGTGATGCACAGGAATCATGAAGTTAGAGACACTTCCAGTTCACACCAGCAGGCAAAGTTACTCTACAGTTTTAGATTTTCCTCAACGCAGGAACTCAAAGTACTATTATAAGAATGCCTCAGATTACATCAAAAATAAAACACTTTATCTCTTTCTCTTTGGTGGTTGGTTTGCTACACATATCATTCAGTTACCTTCACAGTTACAGCACTTTATTGATAATAAAACCTTTTACATCGTTTTTTTTGGGGGCTGTTGACTTGAGTCATTTGCAGGAACACTCTAAGAGGAAAATATCATAGAAAAATAATTGCTTTTGCTAGTGAATTAAGTTGAGCACAAGACAGTTTACCTGCAGGCAACCTGTACAATGACTGCTCCCTTTCCTGGCCATCAACTTTAATCTCTTACAGTTAGTCTTGATAACTACAGAAGTATTATTGTCTCCCATTTTAATAGAATTCATTAGGTTCAGGATGAACTAGCATCATCTCAAAATTTATAGCAATTTCTATTGCAGACTGTAAGTTCCTTTCAACATGACTTTGACTAAAATTTATACGAATAAAACAAAAGTGAATTTATGAACGGATGATACATATTTGTTACACTCATAAAATCTCTCAATGTAGTTCTCAATTTGTTGGCACTACAAACTGCACTATTTTTTGCAATGATTGTATTAAAATTTGAATGAGAACAGCAATATGTTGGGGTTAAAGGCAGGCCACCCCCAAATATGCCAAAGTGGCACACTGATTATTTTTAATTCAAGTTCCTTGAGAAACAGTCAGTGCAAGAATGCTCTGACCCTTCTCTCTGTCCTCTGAAAGCAGGAACTAAATCTCCCACGTGAAAGGTACCCTACCTGCACCAGAAGGTACAGAGACTTTCTTATCAGAGATAGGGAATTAAGGGCCCAGAACCTATGTGAACAAACCTTGCTACTTCTTTACTAACTTACCACTCTGAGCTCAAACTTCACTTCAATACTTCACTAGTTAAGCACCCAAGCTGAAGTTTCTTTGCCCTGTGAATTCCTCACATATGAGGTATGCATTGGGATTTAAGAGTGAACATAAAATATCATCCCAGGCCTCATGATGAAACATATATTCTAATGGAGAAGATAGGCAATAAAGTAAACAAATAAATAAACAACAATAATAATACATTATTGCAAAAACTAACAAAAGGAAAATGATGTGATGAAGGGTGATGGGAACGAGGAATGGTCAGAGAAGGCTTCTCCAATAGCTGACATTTGGGCTAAAACGTTTAGATGAGAAAGAACTAGACATGTGAAGATTTGGGAAAAGACTACAAGTGCAAAGATCATGAGACAGCAAAGAGGTCGAAATATTCCAGGGATTGGCCCAGCTGGTGAGGCTCAGTGGTTGAGCATCGACCTATTCTCAGTTGGTTGGAGTGTCTTCCATATACCAAAAGGTTGCGGGTTTGATCCCTGGCTGGGGTAAGTATGAGAAACAACCAATTGATGTTTGTCCTTCACAGGAGGTCAAGGTTCGATTCCTGGTCAGGGCACATACCCAGGTTTCTGGCTCAATCCCCAGTGAAGGACATGCAGGAGGAAGCTGATCAATGATTCTCTCTCATCATTGATGTTTCTAACTCTCTCTCCCTCTCCCTTTCTCTCTAAATCAATAAAAATATATTAAAAAATAAATATTCCAGGGACCAACTGAAGGTCTATGTAGCTGCAGTGAAGGTGAAAGGGCAAGAGTCATAGAAGATGAGGTTAAAGCGATAGGAAACAAGAAATGCTAGAGTCTGGATTTTACTCGATGTCCAGTTGGGAAATCAAATATTGACATCACTTGTGTATTTTTTTTAAAAGATAATTTTAATAACTGTAGAGAAAATGGATTAAAAGTGGAAGCCAGTTAGGTAGTTACTATAGCAGATATGGTGACTAGGAGAAAGATGATAGCAGTAGAGAGGGGCAGAACAGAGAGGTGAAATATCTTTTGGAGGCAGAATAGCATGTGGAGATGAGATGAAGAGATCAATTAAGGATGACTCAGGGACTGAGCAGAAAGGGTCTCATTGGCTGATGACAATACTCTGAAGCTAAGAGCCATCAGTAGCCAATAGTTACAGCTTTTCTGAGCCATTTGATCGCTGTTGGAAGGAACCAAACAAAAACTCTCAGGTTCCTAATAATGGCTCTAAAGAAATGATTAATTCCATTAGAGGAAATGATGTTAATAGAACCCACTTTTTAAAAAATCCTCACTCAGGTATATGTTTTTATTGATTTTTAGAGAGAGAGAGAGAGAGAGAGAGAGAGAGAGAGAGAGAGAGAGAGAGAGAGAAACATCAATGTGAGGGATAAACATCAGTTGGTTGTTTCTCAGACTCACCCCAACCGGGAATCAAACCTGCAACCTTTTGGTGTATGAGGGACAGTACAACCAACTGAGCCACCTTGCCAAGACAATGAAGCCCGCTTTTACTGAGGGGCCACCTTAAAGATGGGTGGGGTAAGCACAGAAGTTAACAAAAAAAACCTTCAATTTGCAGGGAAAACTTTTGTTTTTCTTGTACATGTCAAGCTCCTCTTCTCTTATCTGTGTTTACCTTTTAGTTGTCCATTCACTAGCCATGCCTTCGTTTATACTGGTTTGTCTACTTTCGTTGTTCATCAGGTCCAAAGAGCAGAATCAGCAATGTCCCTGGAACAACAGCCTTCTAAACACCAAGCATTGGAGCACTGAAACTATTTCCTGCCAGTGATGCCTCAAATATTTGTGAAAGTATAATGTACATTCACAGATATTGACATTTATGGTACATAATTGCTGCACCTGAATCCACTAAGATTTGCCTACAGATGATTAAAAATTAATATACATTTCATTTGTACGCTATGAATTTTAAACACCTGTAGTTTACTTAGTTAATTACTAAGCCCATTCAACACATCTGGCTTCTCTGTCTTTGTGTTAATCAATAATTATTTAATTACAATGTTATGCCTTTTATGCTAACTAAGATGTTGAGACCATAAAAATGTGCTACTTTTGTGCTTCATGCTGGCACTAATGAGTTATATTTATAGTTTGGTGTATTCATAATTCATGCATGCATATGTATGTAAGCACACATTTTACTTCATTTGCACAACAGAAATTTTC